ACACTGAAACGTGCAACGACCTCGAATTGGAAAACCAAAAGGGAAGAACATGCTCAGCATGTCTGAAACGTAAAGAACTCAAGAAATACTTCAAGCCCTGAGTACAAAGATTCTATGTGCAAAATATTGACTATGGTGCAGGAAGCACCAAAAGAAAATGGGAAGAATACGTAGTGTCATTGTCCCCAAAAGAACTCGCTGACGGTCCGTTTCAGGAGGTAGCAGACAAGCAGGAACTCATGGGGCTGATGGAAGACATCCGCGCTGCACTGAAAGCAGGGCATTCCTTGGCGTACCCCAAATCCCTGGCCTTTGAACCCATTCTAACTCATAGCAACCTTGTCCAGGGTTTCTGAGACTAGAACTCTTCACACTTGATCGTAGCCAGAAGGCCAAGAAGCGATTGCGACTATCAATCTTTACTAGAGCGGATAGCCACGTTTTTTCTCCTTCAGAATACTCAGTGGTCTTGAACTATCGACCCTGTGGTTAGCAGCCCATCACTTACTTATCCACTACTGGCACCAGGGTATTGTGGGTAGCTTCTTACAGTTTCTTAGCAGGAGTCTCCATCTTTTCATAGCTCCTGTTTTCCCACTTCTCGTAGATCCGATTCTGGGTGACTGGGACTGGTGAAAGTGGCTGCACCAATGGGCTCAGACATCACAATCATTGTGCAGATGGCATGGGTCTGGATTCATTCTGTTGTACATGGGGTCACAGTGGGTCAAAACAAACTCAACAGCACCCATCCACAACAATAACTACATTCTCTCATTCTCTACCGGATAGCCCTGCATTTTCCAAAGCATGCATGCCAGCATGTTGAATCAGTCTGACAGGGTCAGCTATGCTGTTATAACAAATGACTCCACTGTCTCAGGGCCTTAGTACAACAAAGACTATTTCTCACTCAGGCTGAATGCTCAGTATCGGTCAACAGGCAGTTCTGTTCATGGTAGACCAGATGGACCAGATGCTTCATCTCAACCTGTGCTTCCTCATCACGATAGCTGGTGTGGTTAGGAGCCATCCAGTTGATTTGTGGCTCACAGTGAGCCAATGTGGCAGAGTAGCATTGCCCTGTACGCTTCTTCGGCTTGTTATCTTCATGGATAAGACGGCTAGCATGCCCCTTAGAGGACAGGGTGACCAGAAGGAATCCTGCTTGGTAAAGTGGAGGGGCAGTGTAAAAGAGGAAGGCTCTCAACAAGACAGATTGACACAGTGGCTGCAACCATGGGCTCAAGAGTACAGATTGTCGTGAACATGTTGCAGGACCAGGAAGTGTTTTGTGCTGTTACGCATAGGGTTTCTCTGGGTCAGAACTGACTCGATGGCACTTAACTCCCACAACAGTACTTTTGGGATTAGATATCCAGGTCTCTCTCCTGTGGCACTACTGGAGGGGCTGGGTAGGGGGGTGCACCACTCTTTCCTTAGCAGCCAAGCACGTCACCACTGTACCTCAGGGCTCCTTACAGCTGTGATGGGAGAAAGGTAACCTGCATGCACCCTTCGTTTGGGTTCTCATTTCTTGGGCTAGAGGAAGTCTTATGCTTTCCCTCAGGCCCAAGGTCCAAGGGGGAGCATGCTCTTATCACGTTCTTGGGAAAGGGGACTCAGAAGTACTTAGAGAATAGCAATGTCCAACACACACAGATTTCTGGTTTTACGTTCCAGATTCTCTTACGTTGGCTAGTTCCTGCCGGCCTTCATTTCCCCTGACAATTTTAAGAAGAGGTTAATTTTACTGCACCCATATTGGAAATCATATATTGGTCTGGAAGGAATGTGTCCACCCCTGGCTTTCCAAGACTCTTTGTGGCTATTTATTTTTGTCTGATTATCTGTTAGGAATGCATTTATTTGATTTTTGCAAACAACAGTGAGTTCTACTGGCAAGTCCAAAAACAGTGCATTATTTACATTGTTTCTCAAGTATCCACCATCTGGGTGACCACCGTCCCAAGCAGATCCCATGCCATTCAGTACTCTGAAGTTCCTTCTGAATTTCTGCTCAGTCACACGCCCTATTTTTGCAAGGCTCTGCTTTTGGTCGGGAGGGGAACCCCTCCCCTGCGTCTTGCAATGCCTTCTTATTGACTGAAGCTGCGGCTCCTGGCCGCCGAGCGCTGCAGCAGACCTCCCGCCCAAGAAGCAGGAGTGAAGAGAGAAGCAAGTCATGTGAATGGTTTTCACGGGTCCAATTCACAAGGCAAGCCAACAGGAGCGGGCTCAACTTGTGCTGGAAATTCCAAGTGTGACCCCTGAGCTGCCCCTTGTGATGAGGTGAAAACACACCCGCATTACTTTCCAGTAACATAGTGATCTAGGACACGAAATGGAATCTAAGCCAATGAATGCCCTCACGGCGGAGGGTATGAACCCCCCCAGGACTCAGAACGGCTGACAGCAAAGGCCTGCCTATAGAGTTTTGGTGGCAGTGCTTCAGCAGATAGGTAGTTTTAAATAAAAACATTTGTGTAGTCTTTCCAACAATAAGACATGATTTTACAATTTTGGTGCGCTCAGTATACCGCTGCTGCTGCTGCTGGTAGGTGCTGTGGGGTCAGTCGGACTCATGGCAACCTGACGTACCACTGAACGGAACATCGCCCGGCCGAGCCGGTCCCACGGTTCTTGTACACCACTGGGACCTAAATTCTGCTAATTTACTTTTATGAGCCTTCTAACGCACTCCAATCAGAACTGCCACTTTTCCCCCCTTAGGGGGATGCTTCCAATCCTGTCTCATCTCCAGTCGCTCCCAGTCAGGACCACGATTGCTTTTGTGGTTGTCCGTGTTTTACAGGTGAGGATTTCGTCAAATATTCTGGTGTTTTAGCAACAGTGGTGTCGTAAGTAGTATTTGTGAACCTATATCTATATATTTTTGAGAATGAAGTCATAATTAAAGGAAAAGATGAGAAGAAGCGAAAAAGGTCTCCCCTCAGGGACTACCCCGTTATAACTAATAATGCTGTCATCAACGTAGGAAGGTTTCACAGGATGATTTCATAGTTAGTATTCACACAAGGCATGCTTTCATTTAAACAATGTACAACTATACTCGCTACGTGCTATTCTATGACAATAAACATTACTAAGGAGTCTGTGGTCTGGTACGGAGGAGGTCCTTGGATCAGGGGCGTAGCACATGAGGGACCACATGAGGTGCCATCAACCCGAGGGACACCACTGCCTCAAGTCCTAAGAGAGAAAACAATATAAAAGCTATGTCACAGTGTGAGGCTCCCTTAGACAACTCATGTTGCTCCTTCCCATTTGTCTGTCTAAGTTCGGGGTCAGGAGCTGAGGAGGTTACTCATTGAGCTGCAATCTGCAAGGTCCAAAGTTCAAAACCACCAGGCTCTCCTTGGGAGAAAGAGGGGGGCTTTCTACTCCCATAAACAGTCAAAGACTCAGATACTGTACCCTGTCCAGTAGGGTCACTATGAGTCAGCCTTGATTCAATGATAGGCAGTGCGGTTTTGCTGTTGGAGTGTTTGGGTCATGACAAACTAAGTAGAGTTGGTCAGACAATGTATTAGGCTGGATTGTTAAGAGAAACAAATCCAGGGACACTAATTTATGTGTCCACTCATCTATGTGTAACAAAGAGCAATATGTCAATAAGTATTTATAGATCAAGAAGACACCCCAGCCCAGTCCAACTCAAGTCCCTAAGTCTGATGCTAGTAGCAAAAATCCCTCTTCAGACTCACCCAGCTGCAGGTTTGTGACAAGCAGCAAGCAGGAAGAACAGAGGCTGGTGGTTTCAGAGTCCTGTGGATCCAAAGTTGGTGGAAACATGGAAGTGCATCAGCAGCTCTCAGGGTCAGTGGCTGAGTCTCGGCAAGTAGGAAGGCAAAGTTGGAGAGAGAGAGAGAGAGAGAGAAAGTCCTCAGAGTCCCTCACTCTTATACAAAAGGCCACTCTCCCAAAGAGGTGTCAGGAAGCTACCACTTGATTGACAGGTTTGACCCCACCTCTAGCTGGGAGTATCTAGTTGACATAAAATTTTCCAAGGACCACAGACACTGAATGTCAAAAATGGAAAGGTCCCCACCACAGTGATCCTTGTGGTGAAACTGCCGTCCAGAGATGCTTCATGGTGGAGCTGGGCGGGAGAGGGGAAATGGGGCGGGCAGAATTGAGCATCCTCCTGGTCAGTGAAGCAGAGAATGAAGACACGCATCTAGCTCCTTCAGGCAGAGAGAGGAAGTGCTTGTCTTCGACCTTCCAGAGCACAGCTTTCCAGGGCCACCCAAGATGTGTGGAGCCGTTCCCAGCACCCCCCGGGCTACCGTGATGTTTCATTTGGGAAGAGAATGGTCCTAAGGAGTAGATGGCATTAAGATGGGCCCAGGCTTTTGGCTGGTAGCTCCTCAGTGGAAGCAGATGGCCACAATGGTATTAAAAACTAAAGACTGCAGTAAAGCTTTTAATTGAAAACAATTGGACCCTGCTGGATGGTAATTACCTTGGCTGCTTGCAAATAATCTCCCACCCCGAATGCCTGAGAGACAAGCTGCATCTAATGAGGACAGAGCTCCCCAAACGACTTTCTCTGGGGCCTCTGGTAAAAAGAGGGGCAATGAGGAGAACTGGCCGTAGCAGGACTAAACATTTTATTTTGTACAAATGTCTTCGCCGTGTGAAGACAAAGCGACCTAATAGGCCCATGTTTACTTGGAGAAGATGAGAATGCGAGTCACCTTCAGGAAAAAAAAATATTAAGCCAACAAACCCACTTTACCCGTGGCCGTATTTTCTCGGTTGATGATAAAATACGAAGGAGGAGGACTGTCACCTTTGGGTGATTTCCTTTCAGATCTTCGCTCTGTGACGGGCTACCGTGCCTGAGAAGTCTCGGGGACCTGGAAGCTGAGGCTGAATTAACAAGCCAATTTTCCTCTTTGAGCTCTCAAAGCTACCCTTGGCTGAGATAACATTTAAATGTGGGCTATCCATATTCAGGAGGCAGCGGCACAATCATGGTTGGAATGCCCGAGCCAGGGAGTGAGGTGCCCTTCCAAGTATGGGCGGTAGGCAGCCTTTGCTTTTCTCAGTCCAAGGAAGGGAGTCGGTCTGCTAGGTCGGATTTGTTGGGAAGCGGTCCCAGGAGGCTGTCATTCAGTGGTCCCCAAACTCAGTCAATCTTTAGAATCATCTGAGAAGTTACAAGCGAATACCGATTTTTAGAAACCGCGTCCAGAGACTCTGGTTCAGTGGGAGCTGCCAAGGGCTGCGAATCTGCATCTCTAATGGTACCCAGCTCCAGGATTGGATGGTGCCCGCCTACATTACTGAACAAGAATGCTGATAAAAGGGAGATAGGACCAACGTATCAAAGGCTCGTGGAATCCAGTCATCCTAGAGCCACTACAAACTAGATGAACCTTGACCTCAGATAATAACTTTTATACCTTACATGAAAACTGTTCCTTATAGCAGTGGTTCTCAATCTTCCTAATGCCGTGGCCCTCGAATATAGTTCCTCGTGTTGTGGTGACCCCCCCCAACCACAAAATTATTTTTGTTGCTACTTCATAACTGTGATTTTGATACTGTTATGAATTGGGGGACCCCTGTCAAAGGGTGGTTCAACCCCCAAAGGGGTCGTGACCCACAGGTTGAGAACCACTGCCCTATAATCTTTTTTAATAGTAGTCTTTTTAGAACCAAATAATTGTTCAGCTTAATGAGAAAAGAATGTCTGCCTTGAACAGTGTGCTCTTCAAGGGCTCTCTAGATGGGACCAGGCTGACAAGAGTAACTCAGAAGATTAGTGACAAGCTCAGGGCCCGGGTAGTCTTAGTGGGTGACAGTGAACCAATTCAGAAAAGTCTATCAAGAAAGGTGCTACAACCTGAAGAACATACCAATGTCACTGAATTGGACATGAAGATACTGTGGAATTGGTGCGCAAGTAAGTATATTCTGTATTTTCTGCCACCATAAAATATAAATTATTTAAAAAGAAAAACGACAACAGATGTCCAGGTGATTCGACCTTGCATTTTGGGTGATTCTACACAAGAAGGGACCAAGGGCTTGTCATGGGTGGAATTGTGTCCCTCTGTCCTAACCCTCCTAACCCCGTATCTGTATGTCCTCATTTGCAGAGTCTCTGCAAGTGTTACTAGGTAACACGATGTCTTCCTAGAGTGAGGTGAGTTCTTGCCCTGCAATGGCGGTGTCCTTATAAGGCCAGGAAAGGAGGTAGAGAAATAGTCCCACCGAGTGGAAAAGGTTAAGTGGAGACAGAGGCAGAGATTACAGTGATGGGGCTACAACCCAGGGCCCCCAGGAGCTGGAAGAGGCAAGGAAGCTCTTCCTGCCTTGGTAGTTAGCAGAAAGAGTGCAGTCCGGAAGATGCCTTGCATCCGGGCATGTGTCTCCTCCTGGCAAGTCAGCTCTGTCATTTCAGTCACTGATTTGTGATGCTTTGTCTCCACTGTCCTAGAAAAGAGCACATCACACCTCTGGACATCCGTGACCAGAAGTAGTTGGCTTTTCAGGGTCCACATGAAGACAAAAGCAGTCACCTTGGAGGTGGTCATGGGGGTGGCTCACCAACATGGAGTCCCCCCACCCCCTTTCCTCTGTGCACATCTGAGGACTACACATCAAGACCCTGTCCCAGTTAGGAATGACCACATCACTTACTTTGATCTGTAGAAATGAAGAGTTTTTTTCTGGGAGCTCCCAAAGCCAGCAGACAGGCAGCATGTCTGGTTGCACTTGGCCTCTGTGATTGGCAGCACTCTCGAGAGGCTGGCTTCCTCAGCAGCCTGACTCCTCCCCTTGTGAGAAGCCACGCTCCCCAGGGATCAGTTCTGGATATGTAGTGTGAGAAAGAAAAAGGTCATTGTGGGGCCCTAAGTTTAGTCACCTCCCCTGTCTTGACATGAGCAGTCCTAAGTACACAGGGAGAGGTGGGGGTCCCCATCGTTAGTTCCGACTTAGAGCAACCCTTTGTGCATCGGAATGGAGCACTACCAGGGCATGCGTCATCCTCCCAATTGTTCTGTTTAAACCATTTGTTGCAGCCGCTGGGTGAATCCATCTTGTTGAGGGTCTTCCTCTTTTTCACTGTCTCTACTTTAGCAAGCATGATGTCCTTTTCCAGGGACTGGTCTCTCCTGTTAGCACTTCATAAGTATGTGAGATGAAGTCTCATTATCCTTGATTTTAAGAACCACACTGGCTAGACTTCCTCTAAGACAGATTGGCTTGGTCTTCTAGCATCCACGGTGCTTTCAATATTCTTTGCCAACACCGTCACTTGACTGCACTGGTTCTTCTCTGGTCTTTTTATTCATGGTCTAGGTTTTAAATGCACATGAGGCCACTGGAAATGCCATGGTCTGGGTCAGGTGCACCTTAGTCCTCAAAGTGACCCAAAGGAAGATTTCTGGGGTGACACCTGCTTCATGGGCAGGCTCAGCTGGAAGGAGATTGGAGGGAATGAGCACTGGGTATGCAAACTATTGAACCCTGAAAAATTTTGGCTCATGGTCTCAACACCAATCACTACTTTCATAAAACTCCTGCCTGACTTGAAGTTTGGGGGGCTTGGTCCCAAACCCCTACCTTCTGCAAGCAAACCCACTGCCATCGAACAGATTCCAAGTCACGGAAGGTGTCATCAAGTCGAACTGCTCCCGAGGGGTTCTTGTCTGTTGTCTTCATGTAAGGAAGTTGCCAGACCTTTCCTCTATAGTGATGCTAGATGGGCTCACCCATCAAGCTTAGTAGTTCAATGCAAACTGTGGCCCACAGAGACCTTCATCAACCTTCAGACCATTGAGACACCCAGTAACTGGATCTGCTTTTCTGAGCCAGAGTCTGGTGTGCGACCACCGTTAAAGACAACAGAGAAGAATTATTTAAGCTCCTGAGTGCAGTGCTTTTCCATCTTCGCAACATCCTCTCCTAAGACTTTCTGGATCAAGAGATTCCTGGCCAAGAAACAAAAGCAGAATCAGCCCCTTTGCCAATGGATTCAAATGAAAACTGGTAATAAGACCATGTACAATTCCAAGAGAAGACAGTGGAGAAGAACCAAGCTCGGTCTGTAAGGAGCTCCCTGAGCGACGGCACATTTACCCTGACCCTCAAGTGGTTTGTCATGCTGAATTTACGACTTTGCTGCCATCTGAACAATTGACCTTGTATTGGCAAATATTTGGTTTCTTCCTTGGTTTTTATGCTTCTGCATCGAGAGCTTAACAATAAATAATGTAAGGCCATTGGTTTGGGAAAAAAAAAGATTTAATCATGGTAAAACACAAAATATTTAATTCAGAAGAATTATTGAGTCATGGCAAAACATAAACCATTTCATTTGACTTCACATATAATGATTTATAAGTCACACGTGACTTGGCTTCACATGTAATATTAAATGCAAAGAACAAAAAGCAAGCCCCCTCCCTTGCACAACATACTCACAGGTGGAGAGATGTGGACAAAATACTTAAGAGGGATCCCTTCTTAGGTTTCCTGTGTTAACTCTGGTCTGATGATTTCCTTTGTAGACGGTTCCCCAGTCTTTGCTGTGTGCACAGCAGTGTGGGTGTGCTTTCTATCTCCTGGCCATCACTTTGGTACTCACTATGCTTAGTAAGGGCCATGGTTCTAAAGCTTTCTTGGGTCTGATTCTTTCTTGTGTTTTTAGAACAACTAGTTGCCATGCAGGGCTGGAATCTTCTCCCTTCCAGAGAAGTCAGAATACTTTCCCTTCACCATCACAGCTTGTGACTCAATTTGGTCTCTGGAGGTTCAGGCTTAGAAGGTGCTGTGGGCGTCTCTAAGTTCTTCCTCCCCTCGGGGGCTAGAAGCTCTTCTGCTCACTGAGATCTATCTGATGGTCATGGTTCTCGGCAGTGGCAGGAGCTCGTAGGTCCTGTGGTTGCCGGTTTCTGTAGGGTTAGCTGCATTTCCCATTTTTAGGGAAGTCTTCTCTCTACTGAAATATAATTTCTCCCAGGAGCTTCCACTTTTCTGGCTGTGGGTCCTTGGAGACCAAGTCTCATCCTTTTTTTTTTTTTTGATGTGACTACCGTTCAATATTTGAAGGCAGTGGTCCTTGGCCCCCAGTGCGTTGTTTTCTTCAGGGTAAGCTTTCCCATCTGTTCTTTGTACAATGGCATGCCTAGCCGATTTATCATTATCTGTTCATGTTCCCATTGTTCCAGGATCCTTTGTAAGCTCTGGTAAACCATGGTTCTGAACCGAATAGGCCATCTCATCAGTGTCAAGCCACGACACTGCCCTTGAGTTGGTCCTGACTCGTGATCGCCCCAATTTGTGGTCCTCCTGCATAGCAGAGCGAAGTGCTGCCCGTCCTGCCCCATGTCCACGATTGGTTGCAAACTGGAGTCTTGTCATCCATTGGGTTGTCCTTGGCTGATGTTTGCAAGTAGGAGCCTCTGCCTTTCTTCCTAGTCCATCTTGTCTGGAATCTTCCCGGGAACCTGTTCGGCATGTTGCTATGATGCATCAGTGTGAAGAACCGACTTTTGGTTCGGTGGTCCAGAAACTCTCACACAGATTCGAATGATTTCCCAGCTGTGGATACGACTCCTTTCTACTTGTGTCTTTAATTTTCTCTTCCATTTTCCCTCCCCTCACGGCCCTCTCTTGCCCATCTCCTCTGGTTCCCCAGTCCTCTGGCTGCCTGGTCTCTTGTTGGGGTTTGGGCGATCTGATGGCTGCTGCCGTTGATGGAAGGTCCTCACCGAGGGCTGAGGCCGCGGGGCTGCCCGGTGAGTCAGACAGTCTACGATCCAACGAAGCCACCGAGTTAATGGCACACAGGGCGGCTGTAGGGAAGCAATGCTTTCCACTCAGGTGCCCTGAGGCAGGGGCATCAAAACATCACAGAGACCCATGAAAGGGTCCCACTGGGTGAGCCACGGATGCAGGCACTCTGAGTGTGGAGACACGGTTCTCGTGCAGAGAGCACAGGACCTCGTGCTCTGGCCTTTTGGCGGCTATTTAGCACCACACACTTCCATTTGGAGGACGTGTGTGCCAGAAGGCGTGAACGAAGGACTCTAAATATACTTCTTGATACAGGATGCTGTTTGAGAAGATGTAATGGGAAGCAAGTTTGCTCGGAACATCCCATGATTTTTCATGGGCAGTTAAGATAACTGCTTGCTGTTGGTATTATGCTATTTAATTGCACAGTATAATTGCTACTGGGAGCCCCGTAGTTCCTGTTCCACAGCATTCTATTTTATAGGTGTTTTAAGGTGTATTTTTTATTGATTTGGCATATACACAGCAATAAACTGATGTTGGATTGAGTAGATACTAGAATGAAGCTGAAACATTTAGTGCATTGATTTGAAATCTATAAAGGCGTCTATTTGCAGTTCTGCATGTATTTAATACTATGGGGTACATAACACTAACATGAAAAAAAATATATTTTTCCGGGTGACGAGGGAGGTGTGTTTCTAGCAATAAATTAAAACTTCTGTGGTTAGCTCTCCCACGATACTGCCCTACCTCCAGCTGGTCCGTGGTAGAAAGCCCAACCCTTGCCCAGTGAGGCAGGTTGTAGGCAGTGTATGTGAAGGTCTGTGTCATTGCCATGCCTAATACTGTACTTGGCACCTTGCTGGCACTTGACCTATGTGAGCAGTTTGATCGACTCTGTTGTTAGATACAGTCAAGTTGGCGCCAACTCCTGAGACATATTTATAACAGAACGAAACACTGCTTCATCTTAAGTCATTGTTGTGTTTGAGCACGTTGTCCATCTATCTCATTGAGAGAAGGTGCTGACCTTCTACTTTACCAAACATGATGTCCATCTCCAGGGACTGGTCCCCTGAGAGCATGTCCTAAGCATGTGAGATGTAGTCTCACCATCCTCGCTTCTGAAGAACATCTGGCTGTCCTTCTGCTGGCGCAGATTGGCTTGTTCTTCTGGCCGTCCGTGGTACTGCACTCCCCCTCGGCAGCACCGTGATTCAGTGCATCAGTTCTTTCCGGGTCTTTCTGAGTCGCGGTGCAGCTGTCACACACGCAGGTGGCGCTGAATGACTCCGGGGAGGTTGTTCTTGAATCCTTCTAAGACTCTCATGGTGACATACTGCATTTCCTCCCCCTCGACATTTCGAGCACAGCCAGGGGAGGTTCAGATCGCCACCTGGAGAAGACCCAGCACTGGGGGAGGGGCCAGGTCTGGTAGAGGGCCCAGAAGAGCAGGGGAAACCCTTCAGGAGGGGGGTGGACACAAGAGTGGAAGCCATGGGCTCAGCAGACCATGCCCATGCAGATGGGACGGGTCTGGGCAATGCTCTGTGGGACATGGTGACCAGCAGCTCCCCGGCCCAGCATCGCGGTTCTTGCTGGAGTTCAGGAGGCACACTCTTCCTTTGGCAGGTCTCACTGACCTGCTTCATGGGGCAGTCAATATTGACGTCCTTGAAGAGCAGCTGACGTTGGAGGCCATTTTCTTTTGAGTAGTTCCAGGCCTCCTCTTGATTCCACTTCCATCGGAGGCTGACGGCCGTCCGCCAGCTTGGAAGACCAGATTCCATTTTGTGGGTGAGCGGCCGGAGGAGGTGGGGGAGATGGAAAGAGGATTGCTTCTTTTCCCCAGCCTTCACCCTCTGGAGGCGCAGGCGGCCGTTTAGTGCACCGATTCTTGAGATTGTGGAGCGTCCTCCTGTTCTCCTTGGCCCCTGCTCTTGCTGAGTCAAACCCAGGGCGATGAGGAGAAAGATGGGGTGTGACTGCAGAGAGGAGAGATGGACGGCGCTGATATGACAAGAGCGCATCTGGTCTCTCCGGGCACTGGCTCATCTCGAGAGGGATGCTGGCCAGGCAACGGCGGAGAGCCAACTTTCCTTTATCCCTGTGGGAGGGAGTTGACTGGGGTAGCCAGGAAACATTACTCTCAACTCCGTCAAGTGAGTGCTCCCTTCCCTCCGACAGAATCAGGTCTGTGAAACCTCCGGGACTCTTAGGCTAACGTGCTCTGCAAACATGTCGGGTGGGTTTCGGCTTTATTACCGATGAGCCCGGTTCCCATGGAAAATGGCAGTTAAATTAAACATAAGCATTTTTACGTTTGCGCCTGGGGAGCTCCCTTTAACAGGATTATTTTAAGAAAAGATCGAAGCGCTACCACCTGGAAATCATCTGTGTGTGATAAATCTTGTTTGATGCGGTTCCATATAGGCTGCAGGTGCAGCTCATTGTTTTGGTAAATCACGACTGCCGTATCTCTAGACTGGCAAGGTCTCGCGTTATGACTGGAGTGTGGTGGCTTGCATAGATGAACCTGTGGCCAAGTGTCTAGTTAACAGGTTCTTACAGGTGTGCCTAACACGCGTAAGACCCTCATCACGAGTTTTCCCAACAGGAAGAAAAGAGAGTGGTTCGTTGAATGCTGTGTGAGCATGTGCTTGTGCGTGCATGCATGTGTGCATGTGATCAACTACAACGAGGGGAAGGAGACTGGGCAGAGGTGGAAAGGGATGGGGAAAGGGCTAGAGCCGAGAGGATGGGTGGTTTTTCATTTCCTCCCTTTCTTCCCTGAGGGCTGACAGTGCTCATGGGGTGAAGAGCCTGGATCCTGCTTCGGTTAGTCAGAATCGATGCCCATTGCACTACTGAACAGGATGGAGTGCGGGTGTGATGTCAAGCTGACAAAGCCCTCTGCCCTCCTTGGAGGGTGCTGTTACTTATGTTAATGTCGGCCGAAATGGAAGTGGTTTTCAGAGAAAGGAAACGAGGAAAAAGCAACATGGGATGTAATTTGGAAAGAGTTTAGGATTGTGGTCTGGCAGCATAATTTCAAGGAGGTAAGCAAAAATTCTTTTCCTTTTTAAAAGTGGTTTTTCCGCTGCTGCAATTGGTTAAGTGCTTGGCTGCTGACCAGAAGGCTGGGGGTTCCAGTCCCGGTACCAGCCTCTCTGTGGGAGAAAGATGAGGCAGTCTGCTTCTGTCAAGGGTCACAGCCTTGGAAACCCCACGGGGCACTTCAACAGCATCCTGTGGGGGTGCGATGAGTCATAATTGACGATGTCACTGGTTTTTGTTTTTAACTGATTTT